TTCTTCTACTTTTACTAAAGTTCAAAATCTGAGCAACTACAAGACCTGAGTACTTCCACTTTTACTAAAGTACAAGACCTGAGTACTTCCACTTTTACTCAAGTACAAGACCTGAGTACTTCCACTTTTACTCAAGAACAAGACCTGAGTACTTCTACTTTTACTCAAGTACAAGACCTGAGTACTTTTACTTTTACTAAAGTTCAAGATCTGAGCAACTACAAGATCTGAGTACTTCTACCGCCTTCTCTTCCTTCAGTAATCTTACCTCTAGGTAGTAGATGTTGTCCTCACAGCGTAACAAGTCCTTCATCTCCTTGTCTCTCGTCCTGAGCTCTTTGACCTCCGCCTCCAAAGTGTCAGTGACTTCCTGAGCTTGGCCCATCTTCTGCATGCTGGCTTGATCCAGAACTTCTTCAAGAAGCTCCTGCAGACGCTCCACTGAACGCTGCAGCTCCGACAGCACCTGTTCAGTGTCCTCATGGACCATGTCTGAAGAACGCTGGGAGAGAGAAAGGTGTCATGTCTCAGTATGCAAATCACACATACAGTATGTGTACATTATCTATTCTAGGCTACATAGTAACAAGAAAAACTGACTTTTAAGCCGTTTGGACTCTTTTTTGTAATTTTGTGTGTTTTTGTGGTGGTTTTTGACTTCTTTGGTAATTTTGTGGTTGTTTGTACATCTTTGTATTCATTTCGTGTTTCCTTATGGTCGTGTTGTGGTGTTTTTGTTGTTTTTTCCCCCCTGTTTCGGTAGTTGGGAGTATCAATGACAAAAAGGCCCCTCTGACCCCCATCTAAAACGGACTATTGCAAGGTTCAAACCAACCTTCGTCACCTCCATCATCTTCTTCATGTCTTTCAGCTCCTGCTCTCTCTCCTTCAGTCTCTGCGTATTCTCTGTCTGCATCTCTGACATCAATTTCTATAGGACGGCACATGAAGACGCAAAATAAAAAATCATATCTTACACAAGTAGAAGGAAACAGCTCTGCGTGTGAAATAGGACAACATGAGAGGGTGGAGCAATACGAATGAAGAGGAATGTAGTTAGGTTTGTCAGCCTGGACACACACAAAGGGAGAGAGGATCACACACACACACACACACACACACACACACACACACACACACACACACACACACACACACACACACACAGAAACCCATTACATAGAACAATGACAGCAGGAGAGGTCATCAATTGTCCCTCATATTAGAAACTGGTGCCCACTTCTTATTGAAGGTGGGCTTATTCAAATAGATAACATGGTGTTGCAATATATGATCCATCTTAAATGTTATTCAGGATTATTCACATATTGGCTCAGGTTGTTCAGATACTTAATACAAAAGGTTTCCACCTAAACACTTGAAATTTGATGCCCATCCAGTTACAGTGGAGCCTGCATAATAGTAGAGTCACTTTTCATCACTGCCACAATGTTTTGCCCCTTTCCATTTGGTCTCTGAGACCATTCTTACCTGCTTCTCCAAACGCTCAACCTTGGTGGACACACACTCGTGGCCTTTGTGCTGGTTGCTGGTGCACAGCCAGCAGACGAACATTTTACACTGGCGACAGAAGAACTCTTGCAGGTATTTGTGCTCTGCGCAGATCTTCTCAGCCAGGTTGCTTGTGGGTGCTATCAGCTCGTGCTTACTCAGGGACTTCTTGGTCTTGTGGGGCTTCAGGTGGGCTTCGCAGAATGAACTCATGCACACCAGGCAGCTCTTGACCGCTGCTCGCTGTTCTCCTTTGCACATGTCGCATAACACTGCAGAGGAAGAGAGTTTCCTTTTGGTTTTGGATGAGGCAACGCCAGTTCCGCTTCGCATAGAGGCACGAACATCAGCTATATGGGCCCCTTTGCGGAGCTGCTCTACAGCCTCAGCCAGCATGGTGTTTTTCGACAAGGAGGGCTTGGGACTGAAGGACTTTCGGCATTGTGGGCAGCTGTAGACGCCCTTGGGATCGTTCTTGCTCCAGTAGTCCTTGATGCAGGCCATGCAGTAGCTGTGCCCACAAGGGATGGTTACTGGATCATTTGGGAGGTCCAGACACACAGGACAGTTAAACTGCTCCTCTGTCCACAGTTTGGCACTCATGCTGAGGCTGTCTGATGCAATAAGATGGTTCAGTTCGAGATAGATACAATCCTGAGCAGAACAGTGGAAGAAGAGGATCCAGAGGTAAGTCTTGTAAGGACTGACGGAAGGAAAAGGTTTCTCTCTAGTTTAAGCAGGAAGAGGTGAGGGGGGCGGGGCTAGAGCCACCAAACAGGTCTAGCGGGGAAAACGGGTATCAGTGGAAAACTGCTAAATGCCAGAGGTAAAGGAGTGAATGAACTGATTATTTTATTGTAATATCAATAACCAGAGATGGCAGAAGTACACAAATCCTTTACTCAAGTAGAAGTACAGATACTCGTTGTTTAAAAATACTGACTAAACTTCTTTACTCAAGTCAAAGTAAAGAACTTTGAAATGTACTTCAGTAAAAAGTACCCATAACTAGCAGCTGTTTTAAAGAGTACCTGACCTCCCTTTATATTAATAGAACAATAATGTCATTGTTAGCTAATGAATGTTTCCATGCTGAACAACGGCAACATGACAACGTTTTCATTGGTCCCTCTTCTTTAGAGAAGACCAGGAAATGATGGATACACGGATCGTGTTCAAATCAATAGGCACGCAATGACTCTAAATAATAATGATCACGCCACCAAACACACATTCAGACTAAAGGAACCAGCCTGTTTGGAAAATGAGAGAAGTAGAAAGTACAGGTATTTGGGTTCAACATGTAAGAAGTAGAAAGTACAGGTATTTGTGTTCAACATGTAAGAAGTAGAAAGTACAGGTATTTGAGTTCAACATGTAAGAAGTAGAAAGTACAGGTATTTGTGTTCAACATGTAAGAAGTAGAAAGTACAGGTATTTGTGTTCAACATGTAATATTAAATGTTATGTTAAATAAATTTAAGATATAGACCATGCAGTATAAATCACTCACTTATTAATGAGTCATGTAGACATTAATCAAGAAAATATCTTTATTGAATACAGAAGAACCAGTAACAATTCAAAGCAGATTATGTTATGCAAATATAGTATATTAGTAACAAAATAAGGTAGAGTAAATAAAATATTGTTAAATAAAGTAAATATAAAAAAGTAAATAAAGCAGTAGTATATAGAGAATTCAATATACATTTTTTAAACAGACAGGATGAAAATGTAACATTATACAGAGGAGAACAACAGAAGTGTTATTCCTGGGAACTAGCAAAATATATCGTCATGAACAAACACTCCTTCTCATTTTCCCTTTTCAGCCTCCCATCTTTTCTTTTCAGCCTCGTAAAAAGCAGACTCCTTGAACTTCTTCCAGGTCATCTGCTTCTCCATGCCCTGATCCCTGTAGAGTGATAACACTTTAGCAGGACAGTACACATACTTCCCTGCTACTCCTGGGAATCCTGTGTGTATGTGAGGACTGTTTGGGCCCTGCTTGAGTTCCTTTCTGCAAAATCCACATTTGCGACCGTTGCGCTCGGGCTTAGTGTTCTTTCTTTTTTGCTGGACTCTTGCCTCTACCCTTTGCTTCATAGCTTCCAGTTCCCGCGGAAAGAAAGCTGTCTCGGCAAAGTCTCCAAATGGCATTTTAGGGTCTGTCAGACCTTCAGCAGCATAAGTTTTAAAAACTTTGGTGGAGCAGTAAAAGTATCTGACAGTACCCTGCATGTAGAAGTGGTGGATGGAAGAGCCATCATTTTCAAAGCGGGCCTTTGGCTGGCCGCAGGAAAGACACCTTTGTCTGTTTCTTCTTTTGTTGTTGTTGTTGTTGTTGTTGTTG